AGCAAAAAGGGGCTGCCGTCAAGCGAACTGTGCCAGCATGCAGGAGGGGAGGACACACAAACACACACAAACACAAACACACACACACACACAAACACACACACACACACACGCGCGCGCGCGCGCACGCACGCACGCACGCACGCACGCACGCACGCACGCACGCACGCGCACGCACGCACACACACACACACACACACACACACACACACACACACACACACACATATATACACACACGCGCGCACACACGTGGACTCGGACGACCCCCACCGCGCCAGATAGTCTTGGAAGACCGCGCGGCTGTACCACTTGAAAACGCGGCCGCCGCCCCGGCCTTTGTAGCGCTCGCGCCCCGCCCCGTAGCGACCGCCATCCGCCTCAGCGCCCCGATCGCCCCTGGACCGCACGCCAGCCCCCACCTCCAACGCCGCCAGCCCACGGCGACCCCCCGTGCCTCGATTCAGCTTCATGTGCTCCTGAATCTTGCCCAGGCACCGCTCGTACTCAGCGTCCGTGAGCTTCCAGCGCCCCGCCTCGTCGCGTTCGCTGAGGAACTGGAGCTCCGGGCGCATCTCGGAGGCGTACCCCCACGTCAAATGTCGGGAGTACCACTGCCTCGACGGCTCGAGGGCGCCTAGGGCCGCTTTGCGGAACTGGTCCAGGTTCTTCTCCGGAATGGGCCCCGTGACGCGCCCACGCGGGCACGTCCGATGCGCCATGCACAGATCGGACCCAAGCCCCGGCCCACTGCCACACTGACTGCAGGCGGCCCAGCCCACGGCCCCAGAGCAGCGCCTGACACCTGCCCGGGTCCACGCGCGCACGCCCGGCTCAAGCTCGCCGCGCCCGCCACCGCCGCGCCGCCCTCTGCCGCGGCCCCGACCAAGACCCCAGCGACCGCGTCCGGCGGAGCCCGTGGCCCCCTCGACGCCGCCCCCTTCACTGCTAGAGTCCAGGCTGCTCCTCCTCCGCGCCCCGCGGCTGGCCCCCGCGGCGTCAGCGCCACTGCCGCCGCCCAGCGCCGCTCGTCCTCGGCGACGACCCCCGCCGCCAGGCACCGCCTCGAGCTCGCCGCCCGACGCGGCCCCGTCGCTGCCGCTGTCCGAGGACGGCCGTCTCCGCCGACCACCGGCGCCGCCGAGCGCCAGCGCGCCCGTCGCCGCTCCGCCCCGCCCCGCGCCGCCGCGGCCCCTGCCGGCCTCGGCGCCGCCGCCCCCAGGCGCCGTCGCCGCCCCCCCCAACGCCGCCAGCGCACGCAAGCCTCGTGGCCCCGAGTCGTCGTCGACGCTCCCCACGATCGCTCGGGTCGTCGTCGACGCTCCCCACGATCGCTCGAGTCGTCGTCGTTGCCGTCGTCCGAGGGGCAGTGCACCGAAAATCCCCAGAAGCGCCCCAAAAGGGCCCGAAGAGAGCCCCACGAGGGCCCCAGAGGGGCCCAAGATGCCTCCGAGACAGCCCCCAAGGCATCCGAGCGGCGAGGTAGCAAAACGGTGCTGCCGTTAAGCGAATTGTGCCGCCATGCAGGAGGGGAGGACACACACACAAACACACACACACACACACACACACACACGCGCACGCACGCCTGCCCGCCCGCCCGCCCGCCCGCCCGCCCGCACACACACACACACATTCACACACACACATTCACACACACACACACACACGCACGCACGCACGCACGCACGCACGCACGCACGCACGCACACACACACACACACACACACACACACACACACACACACACACGCGCGCGCGCGCACGCACGTTCGCACGCACACGCACCCGCACCCGCACCCGCACACGCACACGCACACGCACACGTAAACGCACACGCACACGCACACGGACGAGCGCACGCACGCACGCACGCACGCACGCACGCACGCACACACACACACACACACACAGTCACACACACACACACTCACACTCACACACACACCAACACACAAACACACACACACACACACACTTGTCCTCACCCCCGCTGGGACGCCTCGCGGCGTCCAACAGCTGGGGGGTTCTCGGCCGCGCCCCGCCGCGGCGCCGCCGGGCGGCGGCGAGACGACGAGGGAGCAGCACTCACACTCAAACCTGCGCAAGACGAAGAGAACAGCATAAGCATGACTTGTCGGAGGACCGCGCGGATTCCTCGGATCGGCGCTTGACCCCCTTCCTTGCTCGCGGAGCGCGGAAGGGGCGGCGCCGGAAGCGCCTCCAGGGGGGCCCAACGCCGATTCAAAAAATCCGCGCAGACCTCCTGGACGTTATGTGTATGCCTCCTGGTTCGTCGATGTTTGACATACGGAGGAGGACGGGGAAAGGGCAAGGTGGCGAGGGAGCTAAAGGTGGGAGTGCGAGTTGCCAAAGCCCTGGAGAACTCCCGTTCGAGATTGGCAAATTGATCTGGATGGCGTATAGGTTCAAGCGCTCGTTGAACGCTCATGAGGGGAGAAGGGGGGGGAAGGAGCTGCCGGCATCACGAGGGGAGCAGGATGGGCGACAGTGAGGCTGCAGGCGCTGTCACCCCCGACATCCGCCTCAGGCCAGCCCCTTTGGTGGCGACTTGGCGGGAAGGGGAGGGGATTGGCAGAGAAGGAGAGGGGAAGCCGATGATGCCAGGAAAAAAGGAGTGGGGGAGGAGGAAGGGGGGGCGGGCGAGAAAGGTGCGGGGAGCGTGGCACCCAAGCCCCCGACGTCGTGGTTTTTGTCACAACGCTGACCGCCAGAGGTCTGGAACCGTTCCTCCTGAGCCGCTTTTTCATCCTGAGCCGCTTTTTGACAGTCCCGAGGCCCGGCAAGGGACCCCAAAGGCCGAAGAAAGCGAAAAAAAACACCTGACCCGTGATTTTGTGTCGCGACTTCTCTTCACAGCGCGAGGAGGTCTGGGCAGAGGGAGAGAGAAGGGGGGTCGTTAGCGGCCAAGAGGGGGGTGTCCAAGAGGGGGGGGTGCAAATCCTGACCGGCGGCATGTGCGCGGCCCAGCGGGGGGGCCAGGGACGTAATGAAACAAGAAGAGGCGCCATGAAATCTGGGGAAATATCATGGCCCCCGCCATGATATCCACCCCCCCCAGTCATCACCCCCCCCTCTTTTCCGCCCCCGAGGGGGGGCGCAGGGCACCGCCAGCCCGCGCCGCTGCCAGAAGGGGAGGGCCTGCGGGGGACGCCGGCGGACCACCCCACGGATCCTGGGCCGGGCCGATCCTGCAGGCCGGGGAGGGGCCCGGCCCGGGCTTGGTGGGCCGGTGGGTGGACGTCGTGTGACGGCGTCGGCGCTGATGATGATGAGGAGGAGGAGAAGGAGGAGGGGAGGAGGAGGAGGAGTAGGAGGAGGAGGAAGAGGAGGGTGGAAGGAGGAAGAGGAGGAGGAGGAAGAGGAGGACACAGCGTGAATCGCTCAAACTCGAACGATCGCGGCTTCTCGATCGCACACATTCTTCCTCCTCAAATCTCCTCCTCCGAAATCCTCCTCCTCCAACCTCCTCATTCTCCAACCTCCTCCCTCAACCTCCAACCTCCTCCAACCTCCAACCTCCTCCAATCTCATCCTCCTCCTCCTCCTCCTTCTCCTCCTCCTCCTCTTCCTCCCCCCCCTCCTCCTCCTCCTCCTCCTCCTCCTCCTCCTCCTCCTCCTCCTCCTCCTCCTCCTCCAGCCTCCTCCTCGCCGATTCCCTGCCGCGTTCCACCTTGAACGCCCCGCCGCTGCGCCGGCGCGGCGCGCACCTTCTGTACCCTGTGCCTCCTCGGACCCGCCCTGACACCCGACGTTGCGCAAAACATGCAAACATCGCGAATCAACTCCTCCTATTCCTCCTCCTCTGAAATCCTCCTACTCCTCCTCCCCCTCCTGCTCCTCCTCGTTCTCCTCCTCCTCCTCCTCCTCCTCCTCCTCCTCCTCGTCTTCCTCTTTCTCCTCCTCCTCCTCTATTCTGTCGCATCGATCTGTGATGTCCCTTTGTCCCGAAGCAGGGCAACATCCTCCGTTGTGGACAAGGGCAGGGTGCGCGTGTGCGAGGAGGGCGTGCAGTGGCAGTCGCCACTTCGTGATGCTCATGCTGTCAGAATTGCCGAAACATAACAGCCGCTGCCCACTCCCAGGTGAGAGAGGTGGGCAGTGGCAGCATGGCAGCACCATATAGGCGATCAGCCCGAGGGCGAGAAGGGAACACAGAGGCGACTTGCAACGTGAAGGAAAGATGGAGGGTGGCAGCTTCCGGCTCGTGATAATTATGCGTGCGAGACTTGCAATCGATGGCAGCCCCATCCAATGCGGGACAGGTCGGCAGTGCCAACACCAGCTTCTGAATAGTATCATGCCCGTCATGCGCGTGAGAAAGAATCTCCGCGGTATAAAGACTGGCAGTGGCAGCTCCAGCATAGTGGTGCCAGGACGGGTGCAGCAAATAGAAACGGGAGTCCCAAGGGTATGGGAGCGGGCAACGTTCCTGCGTCGAACTGGGCGTGGCAATCCGCAGGAGAAACCAATCCGAGAATCTATGTTACGACGTACGTTCTCGATATTTCAGGTCAGGGTGGATCGATCATCCGGAGTGGCCGTGCGAGAGCCAGCGCGGAAATATGTAGTGCCACCGTCACCTCCACAAAGGACCAGCAGCATGACAGCAGCCCCGGGTGGCTGGAGTCCGCGGGACTCGCTTCCCGAGGACCTCAGCTTATGCGTCGGCGGCATCGCATGGGGGCGCAGAGACCCCTGCCTTTGCATCTGACTTCCCCCACACTCTCACTCACTCACTCACTCACTCACTCACTCACTCACTCTCTCACTCTGTCATTCACCCACTCACTCACTCACTCACTCACCCACTCACTCACTCCCTCCCCCCCTCCCTCCCTCCCTCCCCTCCTCCCTCCCTCCCTCCCTCCCTCCCTCCCTCCTCCCTCCCTCCCTCCTCCTCCTCCTCCTCCTCCTCCTCCTCCTCCTCCTCCTCCTCCTCCTCCTCCTCCCCCTCCGCCCGCGGCCCCGGCAGCGGCCTTGCAGCTCGGCTGCGCCTTCGCCTTGCAGGCCTCGAACAGCCTGGCGGCCTGAGCGGGGCGCCCGGGCGGGGCCCTGAAGGGAGGAGGAGGAGGAGGAGGAGGAGGAGGAGGAGGAGGAGGAGGAGGAGGAGGAGGAAGGGGAGGAGGAGGAAGGGGAGGAGGGGGACGGGGAGAAGGAAGAGAAGGGCTGGGGGAACAGGAGGAGCGATGGGGACGGAGGAGGACGCGGAGGGAAAAAGAAGAGAGTCGGTGTTTCCCAAGCGAGGCGTGCTCAGACGGGTCAGCCGAGGTTTCGCTTGGCGCCCGCCGGTGGGCGCCTCGCGAGTGCCCCGCGTCCTGGGTGGGTATGCCGAAGTTTCGCCTGGTGCCCGCCCGTGGGCGCCTCGTGGGCGCCAGGTGCCCTGGGCTGCCGCACAGGTTGCTCGACATAGTAATTACCACATAACTCTGACACCATAGCTTACAGCACATGGTTCGCACCACCCAGCTTACACCACATACCATTCGCCACACATGTTGTGACGCACGGCATGCACCGCATATATCGAAACGCAGCGCACACATCTACATATCATAGCCACATAACACACACACACACACACACACACGTTGTACCACACAGCTTACACCACGCATACGGCACCACATATATGGTGCACCAGAAAAGGTACATCACGTAGCTTGACTTATACGTCCTACATTTTCCCCAGCGCAGTAATTTACAGCGCGGCTCCACGCTGGCATTGACCTGGACTGTGAAGTCGCTATCAAAAAATGTTTGCCGACGTGGACCCCAATTCGGAAGTTGTGGCACGGTATACGTTTAAGTTGTGCGACGCAAGCGTTGTAGTGTAAGCGATGTGCATCAATGTGTCAGTTGTAAGACATGGGGTGCAAGGTAATCGATCTATGATATGGACTCTACGTTATACGGTGCACGATATGTGGCGCACGCGCTGTGGTGCAAGCTAGGTGGTGCAAGCTATACGATGCATGCTGTGCGGTGTTGTACATACATGGGGTCAGAGCTGTGCATAAGTTGTGTGCCATGTGGAGAACACTATGTGGCGTAAGCTACATGTTGCACGCTGCTCTCATATTAGCCAAACATGTACCAACTCCTGCATCGTGCAACGCGTGCGACCGCAAGGCCGCAAGCGACGCCCACTGGACGGACACGGGCGGCACCCGGGGGAAACATCGACTCACTGTTGTTTGCCGGCGGCGGCGAGGCAGAGTTGGCTGCACCAGCGATAGAGCTAGACGGGGGCACCGAGAAAGCGAATCCCACCAACCATCTGGGCGTAGGAGGTTTATGGAATTTCCTCTTACACCCCTCCCTCTATTGATATACACCCCTTTTTCCCCCGTGCGACCTCAAGTCGCCTGGACATCGATTCTGGATTGGATGGTGGGGCTATTTTTGTTCGCGAGCGCAAACGGAAGCGCCGCGCGCCGTCCAAACCTACAGCTAACTAGCAACAGCCAAAATTGCACACGAGAGAACTGGTGAGGATACTTTTTAGTCAGCGACCGCGGGCGAGCGCGCCGGCGGCGAGTCAGGTCAAAGCGGGCTACGCAGAGACTAATTGAGCAAAGGCAGCGCGAACAAACTACGACTAACGCAGCAAGCCGAGGCCTCACACGACGGCCCAGCGGCGGGCGGGTGGCAGGAGAGACTGAAACTGAGTCGAACCGCCAGCGTGCAAGTAAGCAGGGCGCCAGACACCAGGAAATCACTGGTGGGGATACGTTTTTTTTGGTCGGCGGCTCCGAGGCAGCGGACAGGGAGCGGAAGCGGCGTCTGGGTCACGGTACGGGGCTAATTTGCAAACCTAGCCGCCAGAGTCGACTGGTGGGGATACGCGAAGTTTCTAGAGTTGGCCAAGGGAGCACCGACACGCCGAGTCAGCGCACGAGGAGCCCGCGAGGCGCCCCGCGGGCGGGCACCGTGCCAAACCTCGGCACGCCCAGCCAGCGCACGAGGCGCCCGCGGGCTTCCCACGGGAGGCCACGCGCTGGCACCGGGCGACACCTCGGCGCCCCACAGCATGGGCCCCAGGGGCAGCCACCAGCCAGGCACCAAGCGGAACCCCAGCACACCCATCGAATTCCTCAGGCAGCCTGCGCAACATCCCCCCAGGTGCAACCACGGCCTGAGGAACAAAAAGAGGGGGGGAGGGGGGAGGGGGGAGGGGCGAGTCAGGGGATCCCCCAGGTGCAACCACTGTCTGAGGAAAAAACGAGGGAGGGGTGAGGAGCGAGGGGCGAGTCGGGGAGGAGCGAGCGCAAGAGGGAGCAGGGAGGACAGAGGAGCGACGGAACGGTTGCAGGACGGAGGAGAAAGCAGCGTGAGGGGAGGGGGATGCCAGCGTCCCCTTCCCAGCCCCTCCTCCCCGTGCCCGTCCTCCCCGCTCCGCACCCCGCTCCTCCTCCTCCCCTTGCCCCCCCTCCCGTTGCCCTCCCACCCCCGCTCCGCCTTCTCGTCTCCTTGTCCACCTCCCCAATCCCCCCCCTGCCCCCCCCATCCCGCATCCCCTTCCCCTCCCCCCTCCCATCTCTCCTCCCTCCCCCCCTTCCTCGCCCTCCTCCCTCCTCCCCCGTCGACGTGCCCTCCTTCCCCCTCCACCTTGCCCCCAACCCCCGCCCCCCTGCGACCATCGCTCGTGGAGCGGCGCAGAGGGGGGCCCTGAGCTCGGCCCACACCCAGGCACGCCACGGTGAGGGACGGGAGGGAGGGGTGGGACGGCAGATATGACACGAGGGCACCTAGCTTACCGCCGCCCCTCCCAGCTCTCTTCCCAACCCCCCTTCCTCGCCCCTCTCCCGCCTCCACCGGTCCGCTGCGCGGGATGGTGAGAGGGATTATATAGGTTTACGCCACATCCGTTGACCCCATATTTTCTCTTTCGCGGGACCGCTTGCCACAGCAAGCTGCGGTCGCTCAGGTTGCTCCGTCTTGGGCACAAGGAGGAGAAGGAGGAGGAGGAGGAGGAGGAGGACGAGGAGGAGGAGGAGGAGGGTGTAAGAGGGCAGATTGGCCCCACCGGGCCTCAAGAAGGCCCACACGGGCCCCAAGACGGCCCAAGGCGGGCTGCCACAGGATGCCTCCAAGAGAGCTCCAACAGCGCCCCTAGGTGACCCAAGGCCTCAAGACGATCCAAGAGAGTCGTGGGCCGAGGGGAGCAGGGAATTCGCGAGACAGTGGTCGGCAAGAAAGAGGAACAGCGCAACGCAGAGCGTCGACAATGACCATGATGGGGGCCAGTGCTGTCGATAGAAATTATGTTATTGTTCTTGTCGATTCTTGTTATTCTCCCTCTCCCCCTCGGAGCTGGGGCAGTCGCTGGTCGTTGTGAGAGCTCTGCGGCCCATCGCTCAACCGGTTCTGGGGGAAGGGCGTCGGGGAGGTTCGTTGGGATGTCCTGGGGGGCCGCTCGGGGGTTTCCCGGAGGCAAATGTGTCTCCTGGGGGCATCCTGGGGGGACCCTGAGAGCGCCCCCCTTGCCCCCTGCTCCCCACCCCCCGGGCGACCCTCGCTGGTGGAACGGCGCAGGGATGGCCCAGAAGTCGGCCCACCCAAAAGTACGTCGGCTTGTGGCCTCCTTGAAGCTCTGCTCGCACTGCGGGGTGGGCGCGCTGTCCTCCTTCGCAGCGACGGGGGAGGGGTTTTGAGGAAATGGGGGAGGGCGAGAAGGGGGGAAAGGAGGAGGAGGAGGAGGAGGAGGAGGAGGAGGAAGAGGAGGAGGAGGAGGAGGGCAAGGAGGGGGGAGGAGGAGGAGGAGGAGGAGGAGGAGGAGGAGGAGGAGGAGGAGGAGGAGAAGGAGGAGGAGGAGGAGGAGAAGCAGGAAATAATCATCGTGGTTGCCCGCTCTTTCGCTATTCGATATGCCTGTTCGCCGCTTTCCCCACCAACTCTCACAAGCAAAGTTTCTGAATGGTCTGGTGGGGATACTGTTTGGTTGGCGGGCGCGCGAAGAAAGTCGAACGCCGAGCGCGCCACGGCGGGCCGCGCTGGTAGCGGCAGGGAAAAACAGCGCAGGCAACGGCGCGCAAGCCGCGGTGTCGGCCAAGCGAGCAAGCAGAAGAGCGCGCCGAAGACGATGACCACGTGGGCGCGACCAGCGTGGCGACCGGGAAGTACAGAATGTGCACGAAGAGGACGCACGAGACGAACGCGGAACGGTGGCGAATAGGCTCACCGCGTGCCAGAGGGAGACGTAGCCAAAATGGCGCGAGAAGGCGGCCAGGCGGCAGACGAGGTACACCGTGAAGAGGAACCCAGTAGCCGAGGCCGAGCATCCTAAGCCAACCTTGCCCGAATGGCCAAAAACGGTCATCGAAAGCCCCGCGACAAACCAGAAAAGCATGTCGGCACGAGCTGACCGCGCAAGCGATGACGCTCACGCGTGAGAGCCCAGCGAGTACCCGAACCCAAGGAGAAACCTTGTCGTACAGGTAGAACTTCAAAAGGCCGTAGGTTGACAAGTTGCGATTCACGTGCGTGGGCCCGAAAGCAAAAAGGGGACCGGACCGTGCGAGCGAAGACGACCACAGGTGAGAGCCCAGCGAGTATCTGGAGCCAAGGAGAGACCTTGTCGAACAGGTAGGCCTTCAAAAAGCCAGCGGCTGACACCTTGCGCTTCACGCGCGCGAGCCCGAGGCCAATGGGGGGGCGGCACGAGGAACCGTGCAAGTGAGCGCCGCCCATCGGTTAGCCCGAGGGTGGAGCGGTGAGGGGCCATGCAAGGCCGGTGCCCGCACGCACCTGCCAGGGACCGTGTCACCCTGGGCGCAGCCGACCGCTGGCACGGGTGGGGCCAGCGCGTCCAGAACCAACAGGAACCCTTGCGGCCATCACGTCGTGGGCGGACGGGAGCGAAGCCCTGGGAAAGCTGGTGCCCTACCAGCAGGACCAATCCGAACGAGGTTCATGGGAGCAGCTGATTTCTGCAAGCGCACGAGGGGCCTCGGCAGAGGAATACCCGTGGTAAGCAGCTGATCGCTGCAAGTACTCGACAAGCCTCGGCAAACAAATATCCGTGGTAAAATCGCTGCAAGCACTCGTAGAGCCTCCGAAGAGGACATGCTGGTGGGGATACGCGATGCATTTCAGTATTTGCACCAATTTCACGGGTGCAGGACGGGTCGTTTTCAAAATGTGGCTCTCGGCTTTGCGCGGTGCACATTCCTCGTCAAAACTTGCAGCCGCTTCACGGATGGAGGGCGGGTCGCTTTCAAAATGTGGCTCTCGCCTTAGCGCTGCGAATTTTCGTCTGAAAGTGTGCAGGCGCTACTTTCCAAACTGCGACTCTCGACTCAGCTCCGCGACCATTCGTCATAATGGAGGGGGGTTGCTTGTCAAAATGAAGTTCTCGCCTTAGCGCCACGCACATTCGCTTTTTAAAGTTTGCAACAGCTCAACGATTACTACGATTGACGTCCCCATAAATGGTTTCATGGCACGATTTACGACTGTCTGGGCACAACAATCACGTTGATGCGGGGTGTTGTAGTCCCAAGGGGAAACTGTTCCGTCACGAGCTAGGATCCAACTCCTCACAGGCATCCCAGATGGGGTCGGGGTAAATGGGGTCGGAGGAAGTCGTCGCATCGGCGATGCATCGTCGATGGATCGCCGCTGCTTCAGCGACGTCGGCGATGTAGCGGCGACGTCCGCGTGGAGAACATCGGAATCCGCATCAAGCCGCATCGCCGATGCATCAGCGATGCGGCGCGATCCTCCGACCCCATCCACTCCGACCCCATCTTTTGGCGGCGCGCAAAAGGAGGTACGGAGGGGGGGGGGAAGGCTTCTTGGGAGGAGGCTGCTTCTTAGAAGGCTTCGACCCTACTTATACTATAGACACGGCCCGCGCCTTCTGCGAAGCAGGGGCGCTTCTGAAGAGCCTTCCCCCCTACCCCCCCCTGCGCGTGGCCCAAATCTGGGATGCCTAGAACCCTCCCCCCTTGGGAGGAGCCCGGCGCGATCCGCGGCGCCGCCGCCCCGCCCCCACGAGAGGGACGCGCGCCTCGCGATTCTAGCGCCCAAAGCGCCGTCTCAGCCCGGCGCGGGCCGACCCGCGCCGCTGCCGTGGTCCCCGCGCCCGGGCGCCCGCCTCAGCGAGGAGCGCATGCGCAACCAGCCTCGATCAGATCCCTACCCGCAGATGCGATGACAGTCTTCGGGAGGGGCCACAGAGACCTAGGGGATGCTTGAGATCGGCATCATTAGGTGATGCCGATCATGAGAGGCCTCCTAGATGGGGTCCGAGTAGATGCGGTCGAAGGATCGCGCCGCATCGCCAATGCATCGCCGATGCATCGGCGATGCATGGGCGATGCATCGGCGACGTCGGCGATGCATCGGCGACGTCGGCGTGGCGAAAGACGGACTCCACATCGAGCCGCATCGTCGATGCATCGGCGATGCTGCATCGGCGATGCGGTGCGATCCTCCGACCCCATCTGCTCGGACCCCAGCTGGGAGGCCTGGCTTCAGAGGTTGGGGGGCGGAAAGATACGGATACGTGTTGTCCCCGGACCTCTCTTGGGGTGCGTTCTGACCAGAATTTCGAGGCGAATCCAGCGGTGACAACGAGGATTCCCCAGGAGGACAAGGAAAGGCCGAAAACGAAGGGGGACGACACGTATCCGTATCTGTTTCTCCCCCGAAGAGGGACAGGGAGGCGTTCCAGGCTGGTCCATACGGGCCGCGCCAACCGCGTTGACCGCCGCGAGCGCGAGCAGCCCGCGGGGGGCGCCGAGGGCGACGCGTCGGAGGGCGCCGGCCTGCCCTGTCGGCGTGCCCGTGTCGTAAAAGTATGGCGACGGGGAGCTCTTTGCCATTCCTTTTCGGTCCCCTGGGGCCCTCGCCGGGCCCCAGGGGCCCCAGGGTCGTCGAATGGGACGCACAGAAACATACTTATGCTGTATGTCCGCATATACTATACCCATCTTTGAGCATATCGTTTCCCGAGCGGTGTGGCCAGAAAGCGCCCGCCACGACGCATATACTGTGCGATTTCTCGGTGCGCGCGTCGCCCTTGGGGGGGCGACGCGCACATAGTATCAAAGTGTTCGGGTGACGCCGATCAGGAGATGAAAACCGCCCCGGGGAGCTGGTCCGGACTTCCGGGGGCCCCGCACTGGCAAAATGTGAGCGTCTCACGTCTGGGGCGCGCCCCGGGCTTCGGCGCCGTCGGGCCGCGGGTCTTCCGTGCCGAGGGCAGTGGTCGATGAGCACGTGAGCGACAAAACGAACGGGCCTCACGCAAGGTGGCGCAGCGACCTCACGCGGCGGCTCACGCGCCCCGGGCGCCCAGGGCGAGGCGTCGGAGGGCGCCAAGCAGACCCGACCCCCAGGGTTCCGCGCGGTCGGGCCGCGGGCTCTCCGTGCCGTTGCGCGTTCGAGCCAGGGCTCCTCGTTGCCCACTGCTCCGGGGACGCCTTCGGCGGTCTTCGCATGGTGCTCGGCGGTCTTCTGACTGTTTCAGCCCTTCGGGGCGGTTTCCAGAGACACTTCGTCGCGAAAGCCGGATGGTTACGGTCAACAAGGGTTCCATGATCGAACCCCGAGCGCACTGGCCGAAGGCCACACGAGCGACCGAAATGAACGGGTCTCTCGCAAAGTAAAGTAGTGACCTTCTACAATGGCGGACGCGGCCTGGGCGCCTAAGGCGAGGCTTTGGAAAGCGCCAGCCCACACCCCCGGGGCTTCCGCGCGGTCCGACCGCCAACTTTTCGTGCCAGAGGCCTTGGCCGAAGGCCGCGTGCCGAAGGCCACTCCTCGTCCTCGTCCTCGTCCTCCTCCTCCTCCTCCTCCTCCTCCTCCTCCTCCTCCTCCTCCACCTCCCCCTTCGTCCCCCTCCCCCCTCCCTCCTCCTCCTTGCAGTCGACGTTCGCGCACCGCGAGGGATGACGTGTGGCTCGAAGGAGAACTCGGCATGCGCAGAAACGTCCGGAAGCCCGCGCGGATCTGACCGATCGGCGCCTCTGGCGCGGATCCAGGGAAGACGCGGCCGCCTCCCCGCCCCAGGTGAGAACTCTTCCGCCTCTGAGTGGCCTGCTCTTCCCCCCCCTCTCCGCGGCCGCCTCCTCTGCCGTCTCCCCGCCCTTGCACGCTGGCCAGCTCGCTCCTCTCGGTGCCCCCGTTTGGCTCTCTCGCTGGTGCAGCCAACTCGGCCTCGCCGCCGACGGAAAGAGCCCTTGTGTGCAACTTCTGTTATTCGATGCCAAGGCGAGCAATACTACCCCGACCAACCCAGAAGAAAGCGCCTCCAAGCTGCATCCTCAAACGACGGCGCCGAGGCGAACAGACAGGGGCTTGGCCACAGCAGCGAGGGTTCAGAGAACGAGCCCCTTCGCCAAGGGCCATGGGCCAGTCTGGAACGAAGGACCATGGGCCAGCCTGGAACGAAGGACAACCCGAGGTGGAGGGCTCGGGCACGAAGGGCTGCAACAAACGACATCCCTCGGAGGAGGGCTCGGGCACGAAGGGCAGAAGGAAAGGCGTACCTCCTCCGAGGCTACTCGTGGAGCTGCCCTGAACACTTGTGCCAGCCGTGCACCCAAATCCTGGCCCCGGACCCTTGTATGCGCGCTCCTGCCAAGACCGGTGCTGGTGAATAGAAAAACGACGACACAT